GATGATGTGAAACTGCCTTCAGCCTTGGTTCTTTTCTTTCTTCCCCCCTGCCAGCATGTTGCTGAACGTGGTGTTGGGCTTCCTGTGTGGCGGCTTTGCTTTGGCGGCTGGAAACGACCCGGCGACTCAGGGCCCGCCCCCGCTTTTGCTCGTGTCTTTTGACGGTTTCCGTGCCGACTACCTGAAGAGGTTTCACATGCCCAACCTGGAGCTTCTGTACAGCCAGGGGGTTCTGGTGGAGCAGCTCACCAACGTCTTCATCACCAAGACGTTTCCCAACCACTACAGCCTGGCAAGTACCTCTGACTGTAGGAAGCCAAGGATGGATATCCGACTCCGCCCACATCCAAGTCGGCCATTTTGATTAGGTCACCAATAGGGAGATCCCAGGCAAGAAAATCCTAATTGCTTCATGGCAATATAGACATTAATTTAAAAGTAGTGAAATGAATCTTGCAAACACTGAATTAAACTCTATCCATAATATTATGTTAAAATAGTGGATGTTAAATAGGTTTGTACAATAAGTCCAAACAAGTTTAACCAAAAAATATTTATTTCTCACAATTATGAAGGGTGGAGGGTTAGGGTTAGGGTAAGGATTAGGTTTAGGATTAGGATTAGGTTTAGGGTCAGGGTTAGGTTTAGGATTAGGTTCAGGGTTAGGGTCAGGGTCAGGGTCAGGGTTAGGGAGTCATGGTTAGGTTTAGGGTAAGGGTTAAGTTTAGAACATTGTTTGTCTTCCGAGTTCGTGTAGACAGTAAAGTTTCGTTTCCACCTGAGAAAGCTGCTAGTCACATGACCTAATCAAAATGGCCGACCTGGATGTGGGAGGAGTCGGATATCCAACCGAAGGTCCTACAGACTCCATCCAGAGGCTGCTCGGCCTCAGCCTAGTACGCTGAGGCCGGGGCGTCCGGGGCTGGACCTAACCCTAACCCTAACCCTAACCCTCCACCTTATATTGCTGGGTTTTTTGCCCCCCCCCCCCTGTTGCTAGGTGACCGGGCTGTACGCGGAGTCTCACGGCGTCCTGGCCAGCAGCATGTACGACCCCGTCAGCCACAAGCACTTCAGCCTGCGGAACGACAGCGACCCCTGGTGGTGGAGCGAGGCGGAGCCCCTCTGGCTCACCGCGCTGGACTCGGGCTATGAGACGGCGGCCATGATGTGGCCCGGCTCCGACGTCGCCATCGGCAACCGCACGGCGACGCACTTCCTCCCGTACGACGCCGCCGTCACCTTCCGCCAGCGGCTGGGAAACGTCACCAGCTGGATGGCGGGAAACGGAAAGGTAGGAAGGCCAGGGTGGTCAAAAGTATCGATACTAAAACGTTGTATCCGGATACGATACTCATTTTCAAAAGAATCGATACTAAAACGTATCCGGATACGATACTCATTTTCAAAAGTATCGATACCCCCCACCCCCTTCTCTCTAATGAATTTATTTACGTTGTTTATGATCATTAACGTGACGTTAGCCTTGAATTGCTAGCTGCGGCTAATGGCTAATAACAACACGCCAACATTAATCAAGTCTGCAGGAAGCCAAGGATGGATATCCAACTCCCCCACATCCAAGTCGGCCATTTTTATTAGGTCACCAATAGGAAGATCCCAGGCAAGAAAATCGTAATCTCTTCATGGCAATATAGACATTAATTTAAAAAAGAGTTAAATTAATCTTGCAAACACTGAATGAAACTCTATACATAATATTATGTTAAAATAGTGGATGTTAAATAGGTTTGTACAATAAGTCCAAACAAGTTTAACCGATTAAATATTTCTTTCTCACAATTATGAAGGGTTCAGGGTCAGGGTTAGGTTTAGGGTCATTAATGTGGGCCAATGGCCATGGTAACATCAGTAATAGGTCAGATTGATGAAACCAAAGAAACTAACCTGTCAAAATTCAGTTAAATTTTGGGGTCTTTGTTTTTATCCCTGTGGTATCGAGTATCGAATATTTTCCTGAGTATCGGTATCGAGTTGAACATTTTCGTATCATAAAAACCCTGCTGGGTTCCCTTTCGGACGCTATATGACGTTGTGTTTTTATCCTTGTGGTAGCGAGTATTGAATATTTTCTGACGTTGCTATGCCACACAGGAGAAGGGCGCCATGTTCGCGGCGCTTTACTGGGAGGAGCCGGACCGCTCGGGCCACGCCTTCGGCCCCGACAACAACACCGCCATGGCCGCCGTGCTGAAGGAGGTGGGGGGCGTCGCCCAGCCTAAGTCCTCCTAGCGCAGTGCTTCTCAAATAGTGGGGGGTGCCCCCCTTGGGGGGCGTGGTGCGATACCTGGGGGGGTGCGTGTAACCCTGGGGAAGAGCCTTTTTCCCCCCGGCCGTACTAGTATAAAGTGTAATTGCGCATCCACTCCAGTAGGGGGCAGTGGCGCTCTCATCGTTACTTCAGTGCAACATTTTACGACATAAAGACAACAGGTTAGCCTCGGTTAGCATCTCCGACTGTTCTGGCTATAGCCTCCGTTATTAGACATAAACCTCAACATGGAAAAGTTTTTAACGGGGATGAAAAGAAAAGCGGAGAGAGACAAAGATAACGAGACCAAAGAAAGTCACCTGAAAGCTAAGTGTTTTATATATTGTGCTCCTGAGTTAATGTTGCTTAACTGAATATAAATTGGTTATTATTTTTGTTGTTTTTGTAGTTTATTAGTTATTATAATTATTAAATATTATTTATTGATTTGATTTAATTTTGCAATGGTGCAATGAGTTGGTCAAACATGTTTACAGTATAAACAAGGATTTATTTATTTTTAATTTCAGGCATTGATGCACTTAAAATATTTTCTGTTGCAGACTTAAAACACGATTTAGTAAAGTTATTCTTTGTAAGTTTGACCATATGTCTTTCTTTTTTCCTTTTCTTTAATGTTAGTAAGGATAAAATGTTATGTAGAGATGTATAGTCACGGTGGGGAGTGGGGGGGGGGGGGGGGGGGATTTGTTTTTTTTTTGGGGGGGGCGTAACAGGAAATAATTGAGAAGCACTGCCTTAACCCTATAATGTCAAATGTGTCATATTTGATACAGTTTCTGAAGTCTTTTGGATCTGAGACTTTTTGCATCATTCAGTGGTAAAAGCTTTGCTCAAACCCCTGTTGTACACATTCAGATATACCTGATAACAGCCAGCAGAAGACTACACCAAAATATGTTTTTGACTTATTGCACGCTAATTTGATCAAAATAATTTCTGTTTTTTTTTCTTCATATGTTGTTGAGGGGCCAAAGAAAGACTTCAGACTAAAAAAATCCAATATTCTTCCTATTTTTCTTGGATTAGGCTTTAAAGGTTAAAGCCTCACCTCCTGCGTTTCTTCCGCTCTGAACCAGGATCCTTCTTTTCTCTTTGACCTTTGACTTCTTGGCCTCATAGCAGACGCTATCAGACACTACTAAGGCTTTATCAGGCTTTAAAGGGATAATGATGCAAAATGTTATGCAGATATGGATGGTCACGGTGGGGAGTGGGGGGGGGGGGGGGCAAAATTTTTTTTTTGCTGGGGGGGGGGTAACAGAAAATAATTGAGAAGCTCTGGGCTAACGGGACCCGCTCTGAGCCTCTTTCCTCCCCTCAGGTGGACGACTGCGTGGGGCTAATGGTGTCGGAGCTCCGGCGGGTCGGCCTCTGGGGGAAACTCAACCTGGTGGTCACCAGCGACCACGGCATGGCGCAGTGCTCCGCCCAGCGCCTCATCCGATTGGACGACTGCCTCCACCCCGACAACTACACCCTGGTGGACCTCACGCCCGTGGCAGCCCTCATCCCAAACACAGGTACCAACTACTGCCCAACCAATCATATCTGGGGTTGGTTTTAAGATGAGAAGATAATGGAAAAACACAGGAAAGACCACCAGTTTGGAAGGGGTTTAAACCTTTAAAGCCTGATCCAAGAATAAAACAAAACAGAAACTTACTTTTTGGGGGTTTTAAGTCTATATTTGGCCTTTTAACAAACAGTAATACATTTTTAATATTAATAATTTATTACTATGCGATAAGTCCAGATTATTTTTTGTGTAGTCTTCTGCCCCCTGTTATCAGGTGTATCTGATTGTGTACAATAGGATTTTGAGCAAAGTTTTTACCATTAAATTATGCAAAAAGGAGTCAGATGCAAAACATTTCAGAAACCGTATGAATCAAATATGACACATTTGGCATTACAGGGTTAAGGGGTTTTAAAGAAGTCTGAAAGAGGAGAGGAGTTCACTTTTCCCCCTTTGAAGCAACAAAAACCGAATACCCAAAGTGAGAATAATATGTGGGGTAGATGACACAGAAACACAGGAACACAGGTCCCCCTGTTTGTAAACATTGTGACATTTTAGAACTTTAAGCTCCTTTAGAAGGTAGAAAATCTCTCTCCTGTTCCAGTTTAAAGCCCCCTGTGATGCTGCCCGAGACAAAAAAGAGGAAAATATGCAGCCTGATACTGATTAACACTGTCTGAAAACCCCCCTTAATGCCCTTAAACCAGATATTTATAGCCAAAAATAACAAATGTGGGAAAAAATTTATGGATTTCTCCAAAGTTTCAGCAGTGTTTCCCAAACTTTTGGGTGTGTAATGAATCTGTTTATGCTATTTCCTTATTTATCCCGTTAAATCCTGAACTTCTCCCCCTTTAAAGCTACAAAAACCGAACGCCCAAAGTGAGAAATGACTTTTAAACAGCACATATTTGTGCTTTTCATTGATCGTTGCTTCCTTGTTAGTATTCAAGTATTTATATTTTGCACGTGGCTCTGAATTAACTCCCAAAAATCTTTGTAAAATCAAAACCTGCACAATTAGTTGTGTTTCTCAAACTTTTGGGTGTGCAATGAATCTGTTTGTGCTATTTTCTTATTTATCCAGCGGCCATTGAGCCGTTTCCATCCGAAAAGGCTTAAAAATAATGATGGAATCACCCAGTGTCCTGTTTCCAGAGTGTTCACCCCGTTTCCCCCCAGACCCAGAGGCTGTTTTCGGCCTGCTGAACGGGTGCCACCCCCACATGACGGCGTACCTGAAGAAGGCCATCCCCGAGAGGCTCCATTACCGCGACAACGAGCGCATCCAGCCCATCATACTCATCGCTGACGAGGGCTGGACCATCGTTCAGCGAGGGAACAAACTCCCCAGATGTGAGCTCTCCACAGGAATAGTTACATCCAACTCAAAGTACACTGCTTTGAAAAAATAGCTCCTGTTTTCTACACACTTCCAACTCCTCCCAAGAAGGATTCTCTAAGAATGCAATAGACTCCAAAACATTCACTGTCTAGTAGCTGGATAGACAGGATTTATTATTTATTATCCTATTCCCCTGGCTGGGTCTAGGAGATTTAAGGGACCAACATTGAGGTAGACTGTGAATGCAGGAGTCAAAAGGCATTTAGAGAGGTTTTATTCTGGTTTTAGGAAGAGCCTAGGCCAAAAATAACAAACAAAACCACCCTAAAAGCAAAGAAAAGGTAATTTACCTAAATCAGAATAAAACCAAAAGACACAAGCCTACAAAATAACCCACCTAACCAACACATAAACAGGAGAAAAGCTCTCTCTGAACAGGTTATATAGCAGAAATTAACAGCCCATTAAATCCTGAAACAGCCTCAGAGGTGTACGGCAGACAAACGGCCCACAGGCCCTGAACGCAGCATCACAGGCCTTAAACAGGGTGCAGGTGATTGGTGATTGGACGAAGACCCAGGCAAGTACATCAGGAAGCCAGAGATGGAGATCCAACTCCGTCCACATCCAAGTCGGCCATTTTGATTAGGTCACCAATAGGAAGATCCCAGGCAAGAAAATCCTAATTGCTTCATGGCAATATAGACATTAATTTAAAAATAGTGAAATTAATTTTTCAAACACTAAATTAAACTCTATACATAATATTATGTTAAAATAGTGTATGTTAAATAGGTTTGTACAATAAGTCCAAACAAGTTTAACCAAAAAATATTTAGGCTCAGGGTTAGGGTTAGGGTTAGGTTTAGGGGCAGGGTTAGGGTTAGGGTTGGGGTCAGGGTTAGGGTCAGGGTTAGGTTTAGGGTTAGGGTTATGGTCAGGGTCAGTGTTAGGGTTAGGGTCAGGGTTAGGGTTAGGTTTAGGGTCAGGGTTAGGGTCAGGGTTAGGTTTAAGGTTATGGTTAGGTTTAGGACATCGTTTGTCTTCCGATTTCGTATCGACAGTAAAGTTTCGTTTCCACCTGAGAAAGCTGCTAGTCACACCTAACCTAATCAAAATGGCCGACTTGGACGTGGGAGGAGTCGGACATCCAACCGAGACTCCTCCATACCTGCAGACTAAACCGTCCTCTCCTCTCCTCTCCTCTCCTCTTCCTCTCTCTCCTCTCCTCTCCTCCGGTTCCTC